GCTGCTGAAGTTGACATAATTTTTCCAAAGGTTATGTGCGCATATGTTCCAACATAATCGAACAATCTTTGGAAAAATTATATCGCGAAAAATGGCCTAAGCCGTTTTCTCGCGTCCACTTTTTTGACATTGGTTCAAACCTGTTTTGAAAAAAGTGGACGCGAGAAAACTGCTCTAGTAAGCCCTGGTTTCTCTGACCAGATCAGCTCGAAATATTTCGGCGAATATTCGCGTACAGAACGCTCTAGGTTCCCGAATTTAGTTCGGTCAGAAGTTTCGTCTCTGTGTGGTTTGTCTGAACATTTTAATTCGTTGCGATATATTTCAGTCTTTAAAATTTTACCAATCAACGATTTAACGTAGGCTTCTTGAGCTTCAACATGCATATGGATTTTTTTATTGCTATGGCTCTAGAAGAAGAGAATGATGATGATGATGAGGCGGCGTTATGGGATGAAGTATGTACGGAAAATAAGATAGTATTGGGAATATTTGAGAATAGGGCCAAAGAAGGTGTTTATGAATTGTTAGTGTTTAAGCATCCTTCGGATGAACGTACAAATTTCAAAGAATTTTTTCGTTGAACTTCACAACTGTTCCATACTGTACTAGATCATATAAAGGATGAAATCAGTTCGCAACCTACAAATAAATATCCGACTCCTATTTCTCCACACATTCAACAAATTCGGCGAACTGTGCCGTTCAAATCAAAACTAGTTAAGCCCTGGTTTCTCTGACCAGTTCGGTCCGAAATATTTCGGTGATATATAGCACCAAAAGTTCGTTAGCGTTTCCGCTGAAACCCAGTATAGTGTAGTACATGGTAGCGGTTTTTATAAAAGATCGGAACGAAGTTTCGAGAAAGCGTGCGGATAGCAGTTCGTCTGAATCAAACTAGTTTTGATTTGAACGAAATTTGAACGGCACAGTTTGCCGAATTTGTTGAATGTGTGGAGAAATAAGAGTCGGATGTTTATTTGTAGGTTGCGAACTGATTTTATTCTTTATATGATCTAAGTACAGTATGGAACAGTTGTGGAGTTAAACGAAAAAATTCATTGAACTTTATATCGTTATCTAAAAGATGCTTTAACACTAACAATTCATAAACACTTTCTTTGGCCCTATTCTGAAACATTCCCAATACTGTCTTATTTTCCGTACATACTTCCAATAGCGCCGCCTCATCATCATCATCATCATTCTCTTCTTCTAGAGCCATAGCAATAACCCTACGTTAAATCGTTGATTGGTAAAATTTTAAGACTGAAATATATCGCGACGAATTAAAATGTTCAGACAAACCACACACAGACGAAACTTCTGACCGAACTAAATTCGGGAACCTAGAGTGTTCTGTACGCGAATATTCGCTGAAATATTTCGAGCCGATCTGGTCAGAGAAACTAGGGCTTTAGGTTCAGACGAACTGCTGTCCGCACGCTTTCCCGAAACTTCGTTCCGATCTTTTATAAAAACCGCTACTATGTACTACACATATACTGGGTTTCAGCGGAAACGCTAACGAACTTTTCGTGCTATATCACCGAAATATCTCGGGCCGAACTGGTCAGAGAAAAGGGCTTTAGAGATTTCTCGTTGTGTCCAAATATCGTAACGTTATTTGACAAGTATGACAGTTCTTACGGTATTAGCGTTAGCGAGGCCCGCTACCTAACGGGAGTTAGCGGATGCCTTAAAGCCTAGTCTCCATAGACGCGAAATCGCGGAAAGCGAATTTTTTAAGTGTCATTTTTTGGTGGCTATTTCCGAGCAAATTATTCCCATGTCTCCATAAGCGCGAAATTCGCGTTTTATTTAACAGGTTAAGGTTACCTATGTGTTGTTGTTTGTAATCAATTTGAATTTGATTTAAATGCTTTGAATTTCAAACACTAATCTTTGAAAACCATGAAAGTGATTACTAAAAAACAAAAAAAGATATGTGTCTTGGTGTTGTCTTAATTACATTTAAGGCCCTATTATAATCTTCCTCATCAACCAGCAAGCTGTAATTTATGTCTGTTTTCGGGTCTACAATATTCAATTCTTTGGCAGTATCCATTCTTTATTAGGTATCTACAAGTACAAAACACATCAACGACTCACAGAGAACAGAGCACATACCGACAAAAACATAAACAAAACTAAACTGAAAGTAACACCACATAACCTCATTTTTTTTTGGCGAAATTTCGCGGAAAGTTAAAAAATAGTTAACTTTTTTGCGACGCCGCAAGAAGTTAAAAAATTCGCGAATTTTTCCCGCCATAAAAAAATCAAATGTTAAATGTCAAATTCCAACCAATCGGAAAATATCCGCAAAAAAAAATTCGCGATTTCGCGTCCATGGAGACTAAGCTTAAAGCCTAGTCTCCATAGACGCGAAATCGCGGAAAGCGAATTTTTTAAGTGTCATTTTTTGGTGGCTATTTCCGAGCAAATTATTCCCATGTCTCCATAAGCGCGAAATTCGCGTTTTATTTAACAGGTTAAGGTTACCTATGTGTTGTTGTTTGTAATCAATTTGAATTCGATTTAAATGCTTTGAATTTCAAACACTAATCTTTGAAAACCATGAAAGTGATTACTAAAAAACAAAAAAAGATATGTGTCTTGGTGTTGTCTTAATTACATTTAAGTAAGGCCCTATTATAATCTTCCTCATCAACCAGCAAACTGTAATTTATGTCTGTTTTCGGGTCTACAATATTCAATTCTTTGGCAGTATCCATTCTTTATTAGGTATCTACAAGTATAAAACACATCAACGACTCACAGAGAACAGAGCACATACCGACAAAAACATAAACAAAACTAAACTGAAAGTAACACCACATAACCTCATTTTTTTTGGGCGAAATTTCGCGGAAAGTTAAAAAATAGTTAACTTTTTTGCGACGCCGCAAGAAGTTAAAAAATTCGCGAATTTTTCCCGCCATAAAAAAATCAAATGTTAAATGTCAAATTCCAACCAATCGGAAAATATCCGCAAAAAAAAATTCGCGATTTCGCGCCCATGGAGACTAGGCTTAATAGTTGTATTCCTTTCACACCTAGGAGGAGCTCCGGAACAGCTCCGGGGCTTCACGCGCTTATTCCTTTCGAAAAGTGTTTGTTGCACCACGCATATGTTCCCTGCAAATCGGGGGCGACTAAGCACCGAAGCGAGTAGCTCGAGTGTTTCAAGCTCTTGAAAGGAATACAACTACCGTAACGCTATAGTTGTATTCCTTTCACACGTGGGAGGAGCTCCGGAACAGCTCCGGGGCTTCACGCGCTTATTCCTTTCGAAAAGTGTTTGTTGCACCACGCATCTGTTGCCTGCTAATCGGGGCGACTAAGCACCGGAGCGAGTAGCTCGAGTGTTTCAAACTCTTGAAAGGAATACAACTTATGCTATGTCAAAATTAGTTTACGCTCCATTTACGTCTGCAAGAACAGCAACTTCTAAAAATTCCTCCATAAAAAATGCCAAGGGAAAATTAATGAAACCCAGGAATCTTCAGGACAAATAAAAGCTGGCAAACAAGCAAAAAAAAGTTGGGTAAGATCACTCAATTCAGCTGTCAAAATCTAAATAATGAGGGATAAGAGGATTTTTGTGTCTTCGTGTTCGAGAACTATAAAATACCATTTAAAATACCCTATTGTTATATAGCCGCTTTCCAGCTGACCATTTTGAGCTCGCAATCGAGCTTTTGCGCGCGCAAATGCTTCAAGCACATGTTCGTGTTCCAGCAGTACTGCGCTTCAAGAGCTGCTAACTTTTGCGTTTGGAACACAGAACACTGGGCTGCACCGTGCTTGAAGCAGAAGCACTAGTCAGCTGGAAAGCGGCTTATGTCGAAAGCGAGCATTCCGCCTGCTTGGAGCTGGCGACTAATCCGATATCGTTCTGTTCGGAGCGACCGTTTTATTTCTCGAATGGTAATCGCAAATTTCATCCGACTGTCCTGTAATTTTTGAACATTGAAGAGCTTATTTCAATTTGTCAATATGTATCTGCCCGGTGCACTTTGATCACATCTCTCCTCTGTTCTGAAAATAAATTCAGATTCACTTGGAGTGGGTCTAGCAGATACACCAGGGGCGAGTTCAGGAATGAGACACCCAGTGTTGTATTTCTTTCACACCTAGGAGGAGCTCCGGATCAGCTCCAGGGCTTCACGCCCCTATTCCTTTCGAAAAGTGTTTGTTGCACCACGCATCTTTACCCTGCAAATCGGGGGCGACTGAACACCAGAGCGAGTAGCTCGAGTGTTTCAAACTCTTGGAAGGAATACAACTAATGTGAGCGTGACACCGGTGCGACGCCCTAGCTGTTCAAAAATGCTGGACGGTGCTATGGGCCCAATGGCCGATTGTCAGTGTGCGTTATTTCTGAACTCGGCCCTGGAGTGCTTTCGAAATCACCCTAGGCGTCACACGGAGTGCACATCAGAGGGGCGAGTTCAGGAATGACACACTCAGTGTGAGTGTGACACCGGTGCGACGCACTAGCCGTTCATAAATGCTATAGGCACACCGAGTGCGCGCACTCTGTGCCGTTCAGAAAGTACTTTGGGTGCGCTCCAGGTGTCGCACCGGTCACACCATAATTTTTTGGTGTGGCTGCGGTGTGATTGTGTCTTTATGTCAACAATGTCAACCATTCCTCCCATAATCTCAATAATCTCACCAAATATAAACAAAACACAAATAAGAATTAAAGTTTTTCCTTCAAATTAAAAAAATGAACAACAAAAAAAAGTAATCCTAATAGATTTTGTGAAATTTTTGAAGAGATGCTCGATTGGTCACACCAAGCGTGCAGACATTCATACGAAAGTTGTCGCCTAAGAATTGTCATTTCAGTCACACCCATAAAATCGCACTCACACCCGGTGTGTTATTTCTGAACTCGCCCCAGCCATTTAAATTATTCGTGGATGGTGTGCACTCGGGTGTGACGCCCAGGGTGATTTCGAACGCACTCTTGGAGTGAGTGCAGTAGACACAAATGAAAACTATCAAAAACCTCTTTAATTACAAATGTCAATTTTTCTGTTTGCAAACGTTTTGGTTATTGTTTGTGCTTGTGTATTGTCGCTTCGTCCCTTGTTCAATTTTTTTTTTAGCAAATAAGCATTCGGGCCACTCCACTCTGTCCTGGTGCACTGAAGGACCCTGCAGCTGTCTAGCATAGCCCTTTCCATCAATCAAATACCTATCTCAACAACCTTTTTGCGAAATATGACTGATGGTAAGTAAACAGGTACTAATTAATTTTTGAAAGTATGTATGTATATAATTGCTGATAATTATTCAAGCATAGATAATGCAAGTCCTTATTAGGTAGGGGTTTTTGGAAATATTCGACCTGGAACCTATAATAACGGTGGTATGGCCTCAGCTCCTGAATGGTCCCAAAACGGAATATATATTTTTTTCTATGGAACCTGCTTTTGTACCTCTAATTTGATGCCGGAGTTGAGTACCCCTATCGAATATCGACCCTCCATCTGACTATCGTATAAATTTCATAGATTGAGAATCCCACCAATAAGGGTGGTATGGCTTTAGTTCTCAAAAACGAAATATACAGCGTGTATATTTTAAGTGACCACTATTGCTATATCTAGAACGGTAAAAGCTACAAGGTCAGTTACATTAGAAAAAAGTTGCCTTTTTTTTATCCCCATTCAAGACTTGTTTACAGTGCTGCCAAATTCCTTTTAGTTTCAAATCAAATCAAAATAAGCTTTATTGTCAGAAAATAACATAAGAGTTTCATTGACAAAGCAATACTTAAAGCTAGATTGTACTTAAAATCACAAAATATTACAATAACAACATTCATAATGACAAAATAATCTTTGATAATGAGCACAACCACAGATAAAAAATGCTAAAAACAAAAAATTAAAAATCTTAATCCTAATACAAGGACAACACAATAAATCAGGTTAAAAGGAAGTAAAAAATATAAAAAATGTAAAATTATGATTATAGTGCATCGCCAAAATATTCTTCTAGATCATAATAGGCTGTCTCTAACAACATGTATTTAACTTTATTTCTAAATGCTTTATAACTGTTAAGGTTTTTAAAATCATAAGGTAACTTATTATAAACCTTAATGCTCTTATATATCAGGGAATTTTGTGTGAGAGTGAATTTAGGTGTTGGTACTGGAATATTATTAAAATGTCTTGTTGAATAGGGATGCATGTGTGTAGAATCTTTATATTTTTTATGGATAAGGCAGACTGTTTCGAGTATATAAAGACTTGTAAGAGTTATTATTTTTTCTCTTTTAAACAATGGTTTACAGTGTTCTCTCGGGTCTGCTCCACAAACATGTCTTACACAACGATTCTGAGAAATGAAAACTGAATTCCACAAGTACTGGCTGCAATTACCCCAAAAGGCAATTCCATATCGCAAGTGGGATTCAACCAGAGCATGATATGTGATTTTGGCCATTGATGTTCCTAGCCCACAGAAGGTTTGTCGTACTGCAAAACCTCCCATTGCTATCTTGCTATTCAAGTTCAAGATGTGCTGGTTAAATTTTAAGTTCGTATCTATATGTAATCCGAGAAACTTGGTGCTTTCAATAGAGCCAATCGCCTGATTTGCCATGTCTAAATTATTTAATGAAAATTTAAAGCTAACAACTTTTGTTTTTTCTACATTAAAACAGAAAAAATTTGCATCACACCATTTCTTAATTTGGTGTAAGTCGTCTGAGATAATCTCCTTCAAAACATTCGGGTCTCTATGAAACCAAAGAGGTGCGATGTCATCAGCAAAGCCAGTGAACTTACATTTAACTGGAAGCTTGAACAGGTCATTAACATAAATCAAAAATAAAATAGGTCCAAGGACTGAGCCCTGTGGCACACCTGTATCAATGGGTAAAGACGATGACAAGGAATTGTTATTTTTGACCATTTGTGTCCTTCCTGTCAGGTAAGAATTGAAAAATCTTGACGATACTCCTCTAAAGCCATAAAAGTACATTTTGTCCAGAAGCAAGTCATGTCTGACACAATCGAACGCTTTAGAGAAGTCGCAAAATACAGCAGCTGCAACCTCTTTATCATTCAGTTTGAAGTAAAGCTTCTCGAGAAAAGAAAAAATGGCATCATTGGTGCCTTTAGATGATTGAAAACCGTATTGACATTCGCTAATAAAATTATGACGGTTTAAAAAATAAATGATCCTGTCCTTAACAATTTTTTCGATTATCTTAGACAGCGTATTTAAAAGGGAAATCGGTCTGAAATTGGCTGGGTCAGTATGAGAACCTGCCTTTTTATGAATTAGAGGGTGATTTCTAAAAAACGCCTAAAATTATTTCATTAAAATATATCTATTGATATTCAAGATACAATTTAAATTTGAAACTTTTATAACTTTTTTCGCTCTACAACATGGCACCTTCAAATTTTAAATCCGACGTTTCGTGATCGGAGCTACCATCATTAACTTCATTTTTTTAAATTCTGACCTAGATTTTTTATATTTTTACAAAGGGAGTGAAGAGCACTTTCTAAAAATGACATACAAAATCCAGGTCCGTATTTAAAAAAATGAAGTTGATGGTGATAGCTGGATCACGAAACGTCAGATTTAAAATTTGAAGATACCATGTTGTAGAGCAAAAAAAAATATAAAACTTTCAAATTTAAATTGTGTCTCGAAAATCAATAGTTTTCGAAATAATTGATGAAATATTGTTGAGTTTCTTAGAAATCACCCTGTATTTCATAAACTAAAAGTTTATGAATTTTGGCAACACTGTGAACGACTCTTAACTGGGCATCAAAAAAGGCCACTTTATAAAGGACCACGCACAGATCTTATGAGAAAAAATTAATTTCACGATTGTCATGAAATTGAAATATGTTATGCTTCTCGACCTGCTGAACATAAATTCTCGTAGGCTCAAAAAGATCCTATGATTAGTTTCGGAGATACAGGACCGATAAAAGAAAGTAGTACAAGAAAAATCTCCAGGATCTGCTGGTACATTAATTTAATTCATAACCAAAAATGACATATTTTTGGCATTTTTCGACAAGTTTTCAACCTTCAAAGCTTCAGATGACATTACTTTGGCATTTTTCCACCCGTTTTTAACCTAGAATATGTCATTGCCTGAACTCAACATATTTTGAAATGTTTATTTTTTATCAAAATTTTGTATGTTAACCTGGCCTGTACCTCCGAAACTAATCATAGGATCTTTTTGGGCCTACGAGAATTTACGTTTAGGAGGTCGAGAAGCATAACATAAACTGCTGGACAATTGCTTTCGAACACGGTAAATATCGCCTAACTTTCAAGCTCGATATTTTTGGAACCAGACTAGATATCGACCTGCGGTTTTCACGGGCCGACAGATTGACTTTTTGTGAAAAAAATTGCTATTTTGAATTTTTTTTAAATGTCTTCTTTTTTTTTATACAGGGTGTTAAAAGAGTCCATGATTTTCATCCCAATTTTGAATGTGTGTAACTTTCTCAGATAATTTTTTAAATTTTATTTCTATGCGGCGTTTTAATCAATAATCTTCTGCAAAAAAAGTAATTTCTCAAATTTTTTATACCTGCCTTAGTTTTAAAAATATCGATTTTTTTTCATAACCTCCACTTTTTTCAATTTTTGAGCACCTGAACCATCCTGTACAATAAATCTTGCATCTTATGCTGCTGTTTGATATACCCCACGATATCCTGGTTTATTTTCAATGAAAAAAAAATACTAAAATAATGCGATGTCCAGTAGAGAACTAATAATCGCCCATTTTCGGAATTATTTATTAATGGCTCACCGAATTTTACATTCAAAGGTGCATAATTTTAAAAATAATCATTTGAAGTTTCATTTGTTTAGTTCACTTTATTCATTGACATATTATTAAGAAACCATTTTCTCAAAATTTTGATATTTGCCTTTGGTTTTAAAATATCGTTTATTTAACATAACCATATTAATTTTTTCAATTTTTCCGTTCTAAACCATCCTGAATCGTTCTTACCGGTGAATTTTTTAGCAATTGTTATACCTTTCAGCCAGCATATTTACTATGATTAAAAATATCGAATACCTCAATGATATGCTATACAGTGGCGTGCTAATAATTATTTATACCACTGATAAAATTTAAATATTTGGAACCGATTTCGTTGTGGTGAGAGGAAACCCGAATTTTTATTACCCGCCTGCTAATTTTCTTTGAGCTTCATGTTTAAAGGTATTTCAATTAAAAATTCTTCCACTAATGGTAGCAGTATCACAAAATAAAGTTAAGGATGGTAAATTACATTATCTGGCAAACAAAAAATTATATGAACAACGTTAATGCTTCTTTAAGTTGATTTAAAATAAAAGCACAAAAAGTGTTCCTATAGGTTTTTTACGTTATGTTTAGGATGACGTCGTAAAAAAAGGACCGACAATGTTGTCAATGTCTATTTTATTCCTTATAACCCAATCAGCAATTTTAGTCGCCGCTACGTATCCTCGACTACAAAGATAACTTTAAAGTTGGTGTTACTAGTATCGGGAACCGTTTAGGCACCGTTTCTTCACCACGTTGTTACCAAAATGGGGAATGATTTTGCAGTAACGTTGACGTGCCTGCATCGTCCTCGGAACTGTAAGTTTACGTCCCGATACCGTTTCGGGAACGTTGCGGAACCGTAAATGTGTGGTAATGCCAACCAAAATGGGACTTTTTTCCATGCACCTTCAACCTTGAAGATATTTATTTGATCTTTCTCTCTCTTTCAACTAAAATTATGTATATTGTGCTCCCGTTCATCCAGCCAGTACTTTAACTTCAAAATATGTCGACCTATATTTTGTTTACTTCATCATTATTACGTACCTATATGAATATTGAAAGGCTTTTATCTTTGTGCCCAAGCAGTTAAAACCCAAACGCGTGAAATTTTTCTGTGAAAATTAAGTATGCTTGATCTGGAAATAACAACGCGCCCTCAAACTTAAGCATTTTGATGATAAAAATATGTAATAAAGAAGAAATTCTAAAATACTAAATACTTTATTCGAAGGAGTAAGCACTTTTAATAGGTCCATTATAGTTAGAAATCATAAAAGTCAAGGTTTTTATTAGTAAACAGATAATATAAGGCGTGAATTTTCTACTTTTACACAAAAAGAAGGTTTTCCAAAAAATGGCATCTTAAATTTTCTATAAAACATGGCGTATATTATTCAAAGCTACGT